CTGTCGCAGCCTGATCTCCACCGCGTGTGCTGCCGCCAGCCAGGCCGGGCTGATGTCGCTGTGCAGGGCTCCAAGAGCTGCAAGGGCAGCATCCTTGTCCTGCAGCTGGGCGGGGTCTGTGGCTGGGTCGAGGTGCTCATGGGCCCATGAATGCCAGGCTGCTCCCTGGAGGGTGGTGGCTTGGCTAGTGTTTACCGCTTCCCACACCCGTACCAGGTCCCCCACCGTGCACAGTTTCCTGCATGGTGTCAGTGCTGCGTGGTATGCTTCCAGGCCTGGTCGACGGCTGGGGCCCTCGGTGCTTGCAGCATTGGTCGCATTGGGCAGCAGTGGGTTGCCCCATAGCGCCGCCGCCCAGCACCAATCACCGGGTTCCAGTGGGGTTCTGCCAATGTCCTCCAAAGGCGGCAAGTGACCCAGTGCCCCCACGAGCCGGCTGATGTCTGCGGGAAGGTCGTTGCTGCCGAGCCATGGTCCCGTGGCCCGGGCGGTTGTCAGAGCCCAAGGCTGGAGTGCAGGGTGGGTGAGCTCCAGGTAGGCGGACAGCCTGCGTACCCACGGGTGTAGGCCCCGGGCCTCACTGTTGGTTGCTGCTGCCACCTCCTCGTCCCCGCCTGCTCCCCCAGTTACTTCCCCTCCCGCACCCCTACCTTCACAACCTGCCGCCGGTAGTGCCTGTGCAATGAATCGCACGGCCCAGACTGTGTGGCGAGCGTGGATGTGCTGTTGGAGCGGCAGCAGGCCGAAACCCCCGGTTTACGGATGGCCTACTAAAAGGCTGCTGGGTACACCTGTGAGACGCTGGCCTGGGTCTTCTGGGCCCTGTTGTCGGTCGACCAGGCGGGGCGGGCCGTCAGCCGCTCGATGTGGTCCAGAGTGCTGTCTGGAGGGGGTCCGCCATGTTCCATGTGCCAGGTGACCGTCTGCAGGCTGTAGGCGGACGTGGCGGTGGCCCTGCCGAAGGCTGACAGTGGGAAGCGGGCGAGCCGCTGCATCTGCTTGTATGCACCTGCCAGCATCTTGGGCCATTCGGGTTGCGGGGGTGTGGGCCGGTTGTCTACCGGCAAGTTCAGGGCTGTGGCGGTGGTGACCACTTTGAGTCCACCAATTGTCTCCTGCTGCGGCTGTTGGTGTAGTGGCTGCTGCAGCTGCTGCCTACCCGCCGGTTGTGGCTGCTGCTGTTGTTGCTGGTTCTCAGCACCCACCCTCAACAGCTCCACCTTTTCCACATTGAGGCGCTGGCCTGATGCCCTTGCGAAGGTCTCCATGGCTTCTAGGAACGACGGTACTGACTCCTTGCCCTCCAGCGCCACTTCAGTGTCGTCCGCGAACTGGCAGGCTGTGACGCGGTCCTGGTCATTCGGCCGTAGTTTGACCCCCACATCTCGGCTCCGGAGCCAGCAGAGCAGGGCCTGGGCAATGAAGAGGTACAGCAGAGGCGCGAGGGGGCACCCCTGCCGCACGCCTGCCTCCATCCCAACCAGTCTTGATTTAAAGCCATTGACCATGGCTCATGCCTGCGTGTTGCTGAGCAGCAGTCGAACCCAGCTGCATAGCTGCGGGCCCGCCCCCCATCACCTCCATTGCATCTAGCAAGAAGTCGCGGTCCACCGTGTCATATGCCTTCGCGAAGTCCAGGAACGCCAGGAGACCCCGGCGGTTCTGCTTGCGGAGGAGGTGGGATAGGTGGTGCAGGAACATCACACTGGCCCCGATGAGCCGTTTGGGGAGGAAGGCCGACTGCTCGGGGGTGATGATGCGCCCCAGGGCCGGCCCCAGGCGGTTGGCCAGTACCTTGGCGAGCAGGCGGTAGTCGGCGCATAGTAGCATGATAGGGCGGTAGTTACCGGGTTGCTCGGGGTCGCCCTTCTTGTAGAGCACCGTGACAATGCCCTCAAGGAACCCGGTCAGCACCTGCCCCGTTGCGCCTATGGCGGTGAAGAGGCCCGCCATGGTGTTGCCAATGGTGGACCAGAATTTGCGGTATAGGTCGGCTGGGATGCCGTCCCATCCATGTGCCTTGCCGGGCTGGCTCTTGACCAGTGCGACCCGTAGCTCCGCTGCTGTGATGGTTTTGGAGCCAAGCTGTTCATCTGCGTTTGCAGGGAGGCTGATGTTGGCCGCAGACAGCTGGGCAAGTACCTCCTGTCGGGCACTGGGGCTGATGAAGTCAGGAGCTCGGCTGATCTCAGCCCAGTAGTCCGCCACGACCTGCGGCAGTTGTACTGGGTTGGTCACTAGGCGGCCGCTGTGCGCCTGGAGTGCAACTGGGGCAGGCTGCTGTTCGGCCGCCTGGGCTTTAAGGAAGGCTGTCAGGGCAGGGCCGGTCCGTTCACCTGCCCGGAGCCAGTGGGCCCGTGCTTCCTTGGCTGCCATGCTGCCATCCTCCTGGTGCACCCTAGCCAGTGCTGCTTGTGCATCCGCTAGCTGCTGCAGTGGCTGGGGTGCTGTGGGCGCCGCATCGACTGCTTGCTGAGCCCGCTGGACCGCAGCAATTGCTTCCCGGGCATGGGTGCCAGGCCGTCGTTGGCGTTGTTGTGCTGCCTTGTTGAGTCGATGGGCCAGGGTGGCAAGGCGGCGCTTGAAGCCTGGCCACCAGGCGATCAGGCCAGCCGGGTTGTCTTCAGCAGATGGTGCCTCCATGCATTGGCTGCGGATCCACGTGTCCATGCTGGACGAAAGGTCCTCGTGTGCCGTGAAGGCAAGGCGGACTCGGCGGACCCCTGGGCCCCGCTCCTTACTCCGGCACGGTAGTAGGTGCAGTGTCGCAATCCTGTGGTCCGACGGTGTGTGGAAGGTGACGGACGTGTGGCAGACATAGGTCAGCTTGGGCTGGTTGATGTATATGCGGTCGAGACGGGAGCCCCCCGGGGTGGGCGCGCGGTATAGGTGGGTGAAGTCTCGGTGCGTGGGGTGGAAGTGGCGGTGGGTGTCGACCATGGTGGGGCCCGCCTGTCTCCTCATGTCGGCTATCGGTCCGTCTCCCCGTCGGCCCTCTGGGCCCGCTGAGGCATCCAGTTCCGGGTTCTCAACAAAGTTGAAGTCGCCCGCCCAGATGAGAGTTGTATCGCTGTCTGGAGCGGCAGCTTTCGTTGAAGTGGCAGCCAGGACATTGCTGAACAAAAGGCGTCGTGCGTCTGCTGCCACTGTTGTGGAGCCTGTGGGGAGGTAGACATTGCAGATGTGCAGGCGGTGGCCTCCCCAGCGGAGCATACACTCTGTGAACCGGCCCTGCATGCATGCTTGACGGGTTGTGTTCGGTGGCGGCTCCAGGGCTGCTGCAAGGCCCTGCCGGACGAGGATGAGTACCCCTGCTGTGTGTGTCGAGCTAGACCACGAGTGTGCCGCCACCCGCCAGCCTTGGCTATGTACCCGCATTGCGGCTTGGCACAAGTCCCGCTCAAAAAGGCACTGGTGCTGGATGTTGGTGTGATGTGTCTCCTGTAAGCATACCACGTCCAGGCGCATTTCTGCCCACTGCCGAACTGCTGCCTGCAGGCGGTTTCCATGTGTCGCCAGCAGTCCGTGCATGTTGTGTGTGGTGATCCGGAGTGGATGGCCTTGCACAGCATTTTGCTGCTGACTTCTCCTGGTCCCCCTGCTTGGCATTTAGTCGGAGTGTTCCGCCTCCATGGCGGTAGGGATGTATTCCTCCTCATCATCATCCCCCTGTGCTGATGCTGGGCTGTGGGTGCTCAGGTGTTGCTGGCATTGCACGGCGGCTGCTCGCTGGGCGCGGGGTTCGCTGGGGGATGGGTCTCCAGCTGTCAGCTGCAGTTGCAGGCTTGGGACCTGTGTGCCGTCGGAGGGCTGGGCCTGGCTGCCCGTTTGCAGCTGCGCAGTTAACTTCTCTCCGGCTTCCTCTGCTGCCCTCTGTGACCTCCGTTGTTGTTGTTGTTGTTGTTACATGGTCGTGGGTGCGTTCCCCGTACCTGCAAACCACCCTAGTACGAGCCGAGGGCTCAAGGGCTGCCAAATCGCCTATAAGCACCATCCTACCTCGCACTTCCAACGAAACAAGTGATGAAGTATACTAACGACCAAAAGGAACGATAGAGTTGCGGTGAGACCATATACGTTCCAGCATCCTTGCCAGGCGTTCAGGTTCCCACTTCATAGCGTCCTTCATATGTTCGAAGCGTAGAAAGCCCATATCAGATCTGATTTCGTCGTAAACCGGACAGTCCAGCAAAATGTGTTTCTCATCCTCGATGTGGCTATCAGTGCCGCAGCAAGGGCATACTCGCTCCTCCCTAGGTATATAACGCCGTCCCTTACGCGCTCTGTTAGCCGCCAGTGCCCAACAGCAAAGCCTAAACTGCATAAGCTTGCGACCTTTTTTGGAGCGACCATCTGCGAATAGCCCTGCAAAAACTTTTTCGAGAGTAGTTGGCAAGATCAAGAAACGAACGTAACTCCGAAATGTTGCGAGGCTTCGGCAACTCTTGTACGACAGCAGTTTTGCGCGGATCAGGACGAACACCTTCGGGCGAAACTACGTGTCCCAAGAAAGTGACAGAGCGCTTAAAAAACCCACATTTCGAGAGCTTGCAGTAATACCGATGTTGCTGCAGACGCTCCAGAACTGTACGAACGTGGTCGACATGCTCATCAGCGTTAAGATGAGAATAACGTCGAGGTAGACCACAACGAACGGAAGGTTTTGCAAAATCGAATTCATTGCGGACTGGAAGACAGACGGTGCTGTTCACGGATGACCGGCCCTATTTGCCTATTACTAGGAGGAGGCGATTTCCATGATGGAGTAGTATTTTGAAAATCTGTTTGCATGATTTTGAAGGGTTTATTATTCTATAATATTGCAGTGCATTCGGTCCTGCAGGCGGGCCGTATTCTTGCAGTTCTGTGACGCGGCCTGTGGTCAAACATGAAGCACCCGAGCATGCCGCATGTAGCAAAACTGCATTGGATTTGAGGTCTACATAATCCTGGGTAATATTAAAATTATTTTGGTGCAACGGCCAACGTCTTTTTATGAAATGCGTTCGGACCGCGGGAAGTTGCGAGGCCCGCAGCTGAACTTTGTTGAACGCGGCATGGAAACAAGATATTGTTGTTACAAAGGCACTGCAATTTCGCTCTGTGACCCGACCAACGGTATTCGCACGTGCGTGTGCGTGTGCGTGTGCAGCCGCGTGCCAGAGCGCGAGTAGGGCCCCTCACGTTCGACCTGCTCCTTATACCCATGACACCCCCCACAAAACGTCTTGGGGGACGTGCTCACGATCATCACCATATAACCGTATATCAAAAAACTTACTGCTGTTAGCAAATGCTGAACAGAAACCCAGCACCGTACATCTGCGGTGACACAGCACCCCAACTCAAAGCGAAGCAAGGAAGAACATTGTATTGTGTAGCACAGC